GGTATCCATTTGAGTTTAAGTATTTGTTCAGCTGATTAAAGACTACCTTTTCAATAATCTTTCCTATAAAAGGAAGGTTTGATATTGGTCTATAGTTGCTCAATATGGTGTTATCAAGATTGCTCTTTTTCAGAAGGGGTTTAACAACTGCAGTTTTCAGGGAGTCTGGAAAAGTCCCAGAAAGAAGTGAGGCGTTCACCACTTCTAAGAGATCTGCTTCCAAACAGTTAAGCACCCTTTTGAAAAAATATGTGGGAAGTGTGTCAAGATAGCAGGTTGACGATTTAAGGTGCTGTACTATTTCTTCCAAAATTTTGCTATCAATTTCTTCAAAAGCAGACATAGTATCTTCTTTTTGATATTGTGGTCGAATCTGTCTAACCTCTGCATAACTTGGGGATGTGCTAATCGCCTTCCTGATATTATTGATCTTCTCAGAAAAGAAGGAAGCAAACTCATTGCATTTGCTGTCGGAGAGCATTTCACTGGCAATCTGACTTGGGGGGTTTGTCAGTCTCTCAACAGTAGCAAAAAGAGTGCGAGTGTTGTTTAAGTTACTGTTTATAAGGTTTGAGAAGAATGACTGTCTAGCTTTGCCTAGTTCCACATTGAAAGCACGAAGGCTATCTTTATATATGCTATAGTGGATTTCAAGTTTCGTCTTCCGCCACATCCGCTCAGCTTTTCTGCATTGTCTTTTCATACTCTGAACTGCTGTTGATTTTCTCCAAGCTGATTTCTGTCTGCCAGTCTTCCTGCTGACTTTCAAAGGAGCAATGTCATCAATAACATTCTTAACTTTTGAGTTAAAGGAATCAAGGAGAAGATCAACAGAGTCTGCAGAAATGCTTGGTGTTAAAGATATAGCCTCCATAAATAGCACACTAGTGTTTTCGTTAATGCATCTCTTTCTGACAGAGACAGATCTAGATTCAGTGGTAACAGAGATCAATATATTAAAGAAAATACAGAAGTGATCAGATAGTGCTACGTCCTTAATAACAATGGATGAAATGTTTAGACCTCTACTGATGATTAAATCTAGAGTATGTCCACGATTGTGTGTGGGTTCATGCACATGCTGAATCAGGTCAAAAGTGTTTAAAACAGTTATAATTTCTTTTGTAGTTTTGTTTTCTGCATTATCTATGTGAATATTAAAATCCCCTGCGACGTTGCACAGTGCTCATTCAGTAAATGCACAGCTAAACAGATGAGTTTTGAGTCTGCATTTAAATGTGACTAATGTTTTAGCACATCTGATCTCTTCTGGAAGCTGATTCCAACTGCGGGCGGCATAATAACTAAAAGCAGACTCCCCTTGTTTTGTGTGAACCCTTGGTATTTCTAACTGACTTGATCCTAATGATCTGAGTGGTCTGTTAGGTTTATATTCAGTGAACATATCTGCTATGTATTTAGGTCCTAGGCCATTGAGTGATTTATAAACGAGTAAAAGTACTTTAAAATCAATCCTAAATATAACTGGAAGCCAGTGTAAGGACCTGAGGACTGGTGTAATATGCTCAGATTTTCTGGTTCTAGTCAGAATTCTGGCAGCAGCGTTCTGGATGAGCTGCAGCTGTCTAATGGTCTTCTTGGGAAGGCCGGTGAGGAGACCATTCCAATAGTCCACCCTGCTGGTGATAAAGGCATGAACAAGTTTCTGCAAGTCTTGACTGGAAACAAAACATCTCATTCTTGCAATGTTTTTGAGATGATAGTATGCTGATTTAGTTACTGCTTTGACATGACTACTGAAACTAAGGTCTGTCTCCAGAATCACACCAAGATTCCTGACTTGATCTTTAGTTGTTTGACCCCTAGAGTCCAGGTATGCATTCACCTTGAGAACTTCATCTTTGTTTCCAAATGCAATGACTTCAGTTTTCTCCTTGTTTAACTGAAGAAAGTTCTGGCACATCCAACTGTTAATTTCATCAATGCATTGGCAGAGGGAGTCAATGGGGCTGTAGTCATTTGGCGTTAAGGCTAGGTAAATCTGGGTATCATCAGCATTGCTGTGATAGGCAATTTGGTTCTTTGTCATTATTTGACTTAGTGGGAGCAAGAATTGATCCTTGTGGGACTCCGCATGTCATGGATGTCCACTTAGACTTATGCTCTCCTATACTCACATAATAACCTCTCCCTTCTAAGTATGACCTGAACCATTTGAGTACCATCCCAGAAAGTCTGACCCAGTTTTCCAGTCTCTCCAGAAGTATGTTATGATCGACAGTGTCAAACGCGGCACCAAGATCTAGTAGTACCAGCACTTTAAAAACCTAACCTTTCATTAAAGTTAAACAATTGAAAGTGGGGAGAAAATCTCATGATGAAATAAATGTTTTTCTCCAATGCATGTTGGCCACAATTATTGGCACCCCTAGAAATTCTTATGAGTAAAATATCTCTGAAGTATATTTCCATTCATATTTCCATTTTTTAGCACACCAGGGTGACTAGAAGAACGAAATTGCCGAGCCATTGCTTCCTGTTCCACAGGATTATAAATATGAGGAACACAAAGGCCAAATTCCTTTAAACATCCATCACAAGGAGTAAAACCAAAGAATATAGTTCTGATGTGCAGAACAAGATTGTTAAGCTGTAAAAGGTGGCTGTAAGAAAAGAGATAAAGCATTGAAAATCCCCATTGCCACCATCAGGGCAATAATTAAGAAGCTCTAATCAACTAAAGATGTTACAAATCTGCCTGGAAGAGGACGTGTGTCTATATCGTCCTAATGCACGGTGAGGAGGAGAGTTTGAGTGGCCAAAGACTCTCCAAGCATCACAGCTGGAGAACTGCAGAGATTAGTTGAGTCTTAGGGTCAGAAAGCCTAAGAAAATAAATCAAACAGCCATCCATCACAAGGAGTAAAACCAAAGAATATAGTTCTGATGTGCAGAACAAGATTGTTAAGCTGTAAAAGGTGGCTGTAAGAAAAGAGATAAAGCATTGAAAATCCCCATTGCCACCATCAGGGCAATAATTAAGAAGCTCTAATCAACTAAAGATGTTACAAATCTGCCTGGAAGAGGACGTGTATCTATATCGTCCTAATGCACGCTGAGGTGGAGAGTTTGAGTGGCCAAAGACTCTCCAAGGATCACAGCTGGAGAATTGCAGACATTAGCTGAGTCTTGGGGTCAGAAAGCCTAAAATATATACATCAAACAGCCCCTACATGTTGTTCGGGAGGGTTTCAAGAAAAATTTAAATATACTGTTGGATCTTTTATGTTGTGGGCCTGTTTTTCTGACGGAGGTCCTGGACATTTTGTTCAGATGCATGGCATCATGGATTCTATCAAATACCAACAGATAAAAAATCTAAACCTGACTGCCTCTGTAAGAAATCTTATAATGGGCTGTGGTTGGATCTTCCATCAGGACAATAATCCAAAACAAACATCAAAATCAACACAAAAATGGGTCACTGAGCACACAATGAATTTTGTGGCCAATATGAAATAGACAAAGCATTTATTTCACAATGAGATTCCTCCCCAAGTAAATTCAGACTAAATTGAGCGGAAATGTCAATCAGAGGAGTTCAAGAAAACAACAGACTTGTCTGTGATTGGCTACATTGCTTAATGCTACAAAAACACGTTGTAAATTCAGACGTTTACAATAAATATTTTACGCTTTTCAGAGCGCAAACACAAATACGCACTGGAGTCTTTACCAAATCCATTTCACCAATATCCTATAATTACAGTTTTAACTGAGGGTTCCTTTGGCTGTTTCTCAATATGCGTTCTTTATGTGATCTTGCATCCTTGTTTTCTCGCTCTACGTCATCATCATTAACCGTCAAATTTCAATTCCACTCCTCGAGAACGCAAGTATAGAGGACACATGAAAAGTGCCTGGATGTGTTCTTGAAATTGAGTATGCATCAAATGCAGACTCGAGAGAATCGAACCATTAGAAATCCCAGAAGACGCTGTTATAATTTTAACATTGGCAAAGAATATGTAACATTATACATAGCCTAATCATTTTCACAAATACATGCTATAAAATAATATGAAAATATTGTCTATAATAAAATAAAATAAATGTTTTAAAAGAGTTATGTTTGTGATCACATAACAATGTGTTATTTATAGAGCCCGACCGATATGGGTTTTTTGGGGGCCGATACCGATATTAGGGTGTAAATAAAGGCCGATATCGATATATCGATATATCGGATATTCTTTGTGTATATTATAGTACAGTAGCAGTAAAAAGTTTGGACACTTTCCCATTCGTGTGTCCAAACTTTTGACTGGTACTATATATAGAATACAGTATATACATAAACAAAATATATATACATAAACATTTTTTGCAATGATCACTCAAATGTGGTGATCAAACACTTATAATAACGTGACAAACATATGTAATGGAGGCAGGGCATTTAACAATTTAACAATACACTTTATTATCCAAAATGAGTCTGACATCAGTGCACATTTTATCTGCATTTTATGTTCTGAAAAAAAAAATTCATATCGGTGGCGTATCGGCGGTATATTCGCCGATACCGATATATCTGCGACAGGCTCATATCGGCCGATAAAATCTGCAAAACGATATATCAGTCGGGCTCTAGTTATTTATTGTGCATTGCGTGCTGTTGTCTCGCTCCTTAAGACCTGCTGTCTCTGTCAGTTGAGCAGCAAGAACACAGCTCATCTCAATTCTCACAAAGATGCGTTTTGTGTTCTCGCGTCCTTCCGAGTTCGTTTTTTCAAGGTAGCCTGGCAAGACTCGTCTCCACGAGAACACTAGTTTGTTCTTTGCGTTCTTTGAACTGTGTGAGAAAATGGATGTTTGGCTTGAGAGCATGAGAACAGTGTCAGTTGCGTGAGAGTTGCCAGCCCTGCTATGGCCGGTTTGGCTCATATTTATCTAGTTTACCTAAGTAGAAAGCCATTTTTCTTAGTTTTTATGATTTTGTTTTCTGTGGTAACCTCAGTGGTATTGTGACCTCTCACCTTCTGGAGTGAGTCCTGAGCTGAGGTTCTCCATCACTCCTGAGGTTGAGGTAGGAGCTCAAAGAGGACACCAGGGTCCCAGAGAGCCGCCGGCAGCGACTGTGCCAGCCGTTGGGAAAGGCAGTGACCGCTGGCACGTTGGCATTGTTGATATTGGAGTTGGATGATTTGTCTGACATCGACGGACAGTAATTTTGGGTGGAGCACAGAGGAAGCGGGAGCTGCAGAGGACGCTGTGTGACGCTGCCGTACTGATTTCCACTCACATGATTCCCAAACACAACCCCATTCCTCTGCACATACAGACAAAATCATCAAAAACAGCTCCCCTAGATTTTCATTCATTTCATTTGAAATTATATACACTGAATTGCTTTCCAGTTAAAAATTATAAAAATCCTCATAACATGATATCAACTTCAAATTTGGAACATAAATTGGTTAGACATATGGCTTTGATTTTATAACAATTTTAGAGTGCAACATATTTTATACAATATTTATTTTATAAAAAAATAAAAAAACAATTCGTATACTACATTATCTTTACTGTAAACTTAAACTTTTTTATACTTTCTTTTTTTGAAATGCTTTCACTTCAGCAAAATTCTGCTATGTGTCTTCTTTAAAAAGAGACCAAGCTTAGGTCTGTATTGCAAAGCATTCAGGAATTACAACCATGTTGTAAACAAGCATTGATAAACAAGTGTTCTGTTTTCAGTGAATTTATACCCCCAAAGGGGCGACGTATCCTGGGGGATACAAACATTAAAATTAAAAATAAGAGTCAAGTTTTGAAAAAAAATCATTAAATTGCATTATTCGAGTCCCAATAAGATGGAAAATAGCAATAAATTAATATTCTGATGTCTCTTTATGAGTTTGCCCTGTTTAGGGTTATGGTTACTTTTGGTCCAATAAACAGTCCTAATCGTAAAGTAAATTGTCTTTTTTTTTTTTTGCTCAAGACCCATTTTATTTGCTCAAGACACATTAGAGTAGGGGTCTCCAACCCTGCTCCTGGAGAGCTACCATCCTTCAGATTTCAGCTCCAACCCAATCAAACACACCTGAACCAGCTAATCAAGTGCTGTGTTTCAAATCGCACCTTATCCCCACATTCATTATTCCCTACATTAGTTCACTAATATAGTCCACTTGAAAGAGTGAATGAAATCGAGTGAGCGAATTTGGACACTCAGCACACTGGAAGGGCTGCCGCTTTCGCATTGTTTGTGCTTGCTGTTTAATAATTATCTGAAACTTAACAAACTGGCAGCTCCAGTAGTAATGGATCTCGAACTCTGTAATAGAAACTAGCATGTTTAAACCCTAATTAAACTATTTAATAATCAATTAAAATAAAATGTATACCTGTATGATATTATGCTGTACTCGGACTGGACCAGCAGTTAGAAAAATGGATGATTCAGTCGCAAGCGCGGTCTTCTGACAAGATGCGGGAAATAATTCGTCATGGCTCTCAGTGCATTATGGGTATTCTCTAGCCGTTGAGTGTACATCAGTTGTACATTCATTATGGATTCGGACACCATTACAAATTGCTGTCCCCTCAAGTAGTGCCCTATTTAAGAGTACAGGGGGCAATTTCAGACACAGCCAAGGTGTTCAGGGTAGCAGGCAGGTGTGTTGGAGCAGGGCAAATCCCCGCTGCCATTTTGAAGTGTGTTCCACTTCATGAAGTGCATGAGGGAAGTTTATATGGACAGACCCTCGACCCCTTGATTTTGACTGAGTGAGTGAGTCTACTTCATATACTCCAATGCAACACGATTGTGATGTCACCACAGATCGAGTTTAATTTACTCCCACCCTAAACAACTTTTTTATATATATATATATTTTTTAATATTTGAAACAGCCCAAGCATACCTATATTCATATAGAATACTGCATCAAACTAAGGTAAGAAAAATGTAACTAATAAACCAACTTTATAACAGATTCCAAGTGATCAAGGGCTTAGGATGTTACAATTCAGCCTACAGCAAGGGTTCAGCCAGTAGTGGGCACTCATGCAACATAATCAACATCGTATCAACATCTGAGTCAATGAGGGGAGGGAAGTTTAAAAAAAAGTGGATCACAGCCCAGCTCTCCAGGAGCAGTGTTGGAGATCCCTGCATTAGAGAAAGTACTTTAAAAGTACTTGCATATTATTAAAATAAAATAAAATAAAATTTTATCAAAATCTAAAGTACTTTATTCAGAATTTGCAAAAATTGCTTTCCAGTTTAATTAAAAACCTTGGTGCAATCCTTGAACCAGGTTCGCACATTCGCATTTACAAGCGCAACGCTCTAATACATATTTACATGTGCACTGATAAAAACTGAAGTGCTTTACCTCGTATATCTCTTCCTCCTCATGGAGGTTGACGTCTACTAGACCTTCATCCTGTAGATCACATGATATGGCTCGACGGATCTCAGGGCTGATATCATGCAGTGTGCGCAGACCAGCCTGCAGAAGAGACAGATAAAACCACACCATTTCTGTTTCGATTCGACAACCCTGTGATATACATCATTATATGTGATTTTTTTTTTTAAGGAAATTTATTTATTTCAATTGTTTTAAACCTTTAATACATCAGTTTTTAAAGTTTTAGCTTACCTGCAGGGCAGTAGTAGTGTTTAAATAGGGTTGGCGTCCCACAAGACCTTGCTCTTTGCGTTTCCTGAATTTCCTGAAGTAGTCCTGTATCAGGAAAGTGGCATAGAACTTCCCCACAGTGATGTCATCATCTAAACACACAGACCACACAAATGGCCAATGACTTACTCATATCATTAAACAAAATTATACGTATGAAGTATTGTGTTTGAGTCATTCTTGTCATGCAGTACATTCATATGCCCATGATACATGCTTTAATACACTGAAAATCATAGTAGTTTTAGGCGATATAGCCTCAAAATTATATCACAATATTTCAAGAATATTTGCGATAACGATATTTATGACAATATAAGAAAAAAAAACATGGAACAACGTTTTAGCAGCGTTTAGCTGCAACGGCAGCAGCATTTATTAGTGCAAACAAAATGAAGGGCATTTTCCATCCTTGTCCAATGAGCTACTGTCATCGATGACAGATTACCTCATTTGAAGTGTAAATCTACTGTCATAAGGTGGCAGCAGCAGCTGTGTGTTCGACTTGAAGCAGACCGATCGGTGTATGACGTCAACATATCGCGAGAGTGTCTTACCCCTTATTTACACTGCACATGTCTGCGGCGCGTTGTGGCTCCGACGCGGCCACTCTAGTCAATGCTTGTGTTTACACCAGTGGCTCTCCGTGCCGCTTCACTAAAGATATGCGCCTCGCCTATTTTTGAAGGTAAGAGTGTGCACTCTAATATGATCTAGAACTGCTCTCGCGATACTTTGATGTCATACACCAATCAGTCTGCGCAGCGCTGCTTCAAGTCGAACACACCTATTGGGTTTGTGGTGTTGTTGTTGTGCGTTGTTGTTGTGCTAGGGAACGTATATCCGCCATACGTCATCGTGTCGCTATATCATTGATATCGCGATATGACACTTTTTTTATCATGTAAAAATGTATACCGGTATTATTGTGGATGGTATGATATGACACACCCCTAATAGTAGTAATTGATAATTAGTTTAGAATTTGCCTTCTTTAATCAATATTACAATTAAGTGAAGACAGGAGTACATTTTAATATTTGTCAAGAAGTTCACTGGTTTGAGTCCTGGCCAGGAACTCAAGAATTGGGGGACCAGTTTGCATTTGTCTGTTTGCATGTGCTTCCTGTCTGTAATCGGAGCGTCTAGTAGAGATACCAAGACCAAGAACCACAGCAGATTGTTCCTCCCTCACCCAAATGGGAGGGAATGCATAATTTTGACCTATTGGCCACCTGTGAAAATCCACTCATCTCCCTAAACACTTCCCACATCCTCAGTACCACCAGATGATACAGCCTCCATTACTCAAGGGATAACTGATAAGTTGAAACAAGGTGGGCTCAGTTTCACCACCCCACAAGACAAAACCACAAGACATTCAAAAAAGTACTACATTAAAACGAATGACTTGTACATTATAAAATCGTTGAAAAAAATTGTTCTGTTTTGCAGAATCATTGCTGATACCACCTCTCCTAAACAAAGTTCCTTGATACAGGACACACTGTGTGCATGTGTACCTGGTATTCCCTACATTATAGAGACCAAATGTCCCCACAAGGGTAGAAATGCCAGTAAATTTGGAACTTGTGGGGGACATTTTTTGGTCCCCGTGAAGAAACAAGCTTATAAATCATACAGAATTAAGTTTTTTGAAAATCTAAAAATGCAGAAGGTTTTGTGGGGGATAGTTTTAGGGGTAGAGTTAGGGTAAGGGGATAGACAATATAGTTTGTACAGTATAGAATCCATTACGCCTATGGAGAGTCCCCATAAAACATGGAATCCAGTGTGTGTGTGTGTGTGTGTGTGTGTGTGTGTGTGTGTGTGTGACCTCCAGCAGGTGGCACTACTTGGTCCAGGAGTTTCATGCTAGTTCTCTTCCAGATCTTCTTGATGACGGCTCGTAACTCCTCATTGGCTTGATCCAGATTCCCTGAGAGACAGAGTCAATGACAAAATTAATGACACATTCACACCAGCACAGACTGAGTGTCTGTCGCAAAATCTTTACCTTCAGTCTTGATTTTCAGAGCAGTTCTGACCAGAGCGAACAGAGTGGCATTGAACATGACCGTACCGTCACTATTTAGTGGCATGTTCATGGCAACCAACCTCTAAAGAGATATTAAGAGAAAGAGGGGAGTTTAGACGTGTTTAGTCTGTGTATATAATGCAACTAATGCATGTGATATTTATATTTACACTTCCTTTATTAATGTTATATATGCTTTAATAATACTATATCATATGGTTTAAACAGTCCTTTTTTTATTTTTGCAGCCTACAATTACTAAAATTGCTGCAGCTTTTCTTAAAAATTGCAGCTATATTTGCAGCATTTTTTTTACAGTGAAAACCCACCAAAATGTATGATTTGATTATGTAAGTGTTAATGACAGTAAAAGTACAATTATATTTTTTTGTGTAGAATTACTGAATATTTGGTCCTGGACCCCCATGCACAAGGCAATCATGAAACTAGAAAATAAATATTCATAGTTCTGTTTTGCTGAAAATACAGAATTGTGTAACACATAATAGCTTGTACACTGTCACTGTACTATATGTAATCAGTGACTGTACATTTTATATGTCTTAAATCATATTTAGTTTTTTTATATATCATTGCCGATTGTTGTAATATTGTTTTAACATTTTTTCCATTCATCCAATCATAGTATTATCAGTGATTACTTTAACCAGAAGTGTTTTAAAAAGTGTATATAAAATAAAACAATGTACTTATTGAAATCTATATTACTGGTGAAATCAGTCATTACTAGGACAAGCACATATTCACCCCAAGATACAAATATTCAGTATTACAAGTAGTAGTTTAATAGTATCAATAATCCTATAGAAAGTTGAATTTTGCCCCACATGCTTAACATGTAAATATTAACAATATAAACAAAGTGACATAGTGATTCATTTGTTTGGGTTCAGAATTAAGAATTTTGATTAGCTAATATTGTTTCCCCCTTGGTGTTAACGTCTCGGTTACCTATGGTACCTATGGTACCCCTCATTCGTTCAAGGTCCAGAAAAGTACCAAGATGATCGACAAAGTAATCCGTGTGACATCAGTAGTTCAACTGTAAAGTTACGAAGCTACGAGAATACCGCCACACGCTCGTGTCATGGTCCTGTCATGAACGCGCATCCAAAGTGACGCAGTAGAGACGAAAATGTGGAATAAACTCGTTATTTTTGTTTACTTTGTGCAAAAAAGTATTCTCGTAGCTTCGTAACTTTACAGTTGAACCACTGATGTCACACGGACTACTTTGTCGATCATCTTGGTACTTTTCTGGACCTTGAAAGTGGTTGTTACCTTGCTGTCTATGGGAGGGTCAGAGAGCCCCCAGATTTTATCAAAAATATCTTAAATTGTGTTCCGAAGATGAACGAAGGTCTTACGGGTGTCGAACAACACGAGGGTGAGTAATTAATGACAGAATTTTCATTTTTGGGTGAACTAACCCTTTAAGAAAAGGGCAATGAAATTTGCGATCAAAATTTGCATAGCTGGCCACCCCGCGGATATCCAGGTATAAATAAGCCAGCGTGGCATTTACATACTCGTTTTGTTCTGAGTAGTCAAGAAAGCGTCTCAACCCACCCAGAGGCAGTTCAGGAGTTGTGGCACAAGAGACACAATGTCTCTGTTCCCTCCATCAGGAAACAAGGATTACCATAAATAACTGAGACGTTCCCTTTCATTAGGTCACTACAACGTTGCGTCGAAGTACAGATACTAGGGGTCCTTATACTAAGTGCCACAACTGGCTGAATTAAATTACAAGTTCACGATGACACACATATTGACAAGACCAGCGGCATGTCACAAACAAATGCATCTCATAACCTTCAAATGCAAAGGAAGTATGACCTCCCTTCTTTCACCTTGGGAGAGCTGCCATATAATGGCAGAGGTCAACTCAGCCGGAAGACTTTTCTTCTGCTTAAAAATTCTTAAAGGGATACTCCACCCTAAAATGAAAATTTTGTCATTAATCACTTACCCCCATGTCGTTCCAAACCCCTAAAAGCTTCGTTCGTCTTCAGAACACAATTTAAGATATTTTGGATGAAAACCGGGAGGCTTGTGACTGTCCGACTGACTGCCAAGTAAATTACACTGTCAAGGTCCAGAAAAGTATGAAAGACATCGTCAGAATAGTCCATCTGCCATCAGTGGTTCAATCTGAATTTTATGAAGTGACGAGAATACGTTTTATACGCGAAGAAAACAAAAATAGCGACTTTATTCAACAATTTGTCTCCTCTGTGTCTCTCCGCATCACCGTAGCGCCATTTTGGAGAATAACCACTGAACGCAAGCGACGTACGCTATTCTGTGTCAGCCGCGCTGCAGGGATGCGCTGTTTTCGTTCAAATCAAAGCATAAATACACGTAAAAAACGTATCCTTGTGTCGCGGCTGACACAGAATAGTGTACGCTGCTTGCGTTTGGGTTTGGAACGACATGGGGGTAAGTGATTAATGACAAAATTTTCATTTTGGGGTGGAGTATCCCTTTAATAAAATTCAGCGGCTGGTGAACCTGGTTGTAATGTTGGGAAGTGTTCACTTTCTCCAATGAGAAAAGAACACTACGGAGACCACATCCTACCCGAAGGAAGGTGACATGTAGAGATGCATCCTATAGACTTGCTAAAGGAAGCACTACATGTGGAAGGTTTCTATGGTGTACTCCACATAAGGGGAGAACAATCAAACAGTACCTGGCACTAAGCTAAATTGATTGGAGAGGCTCAAACAGATCTCTCTGTAAGGCCAGAAGGACCACTGAGAGATCCCAAGAGGGGATAAGATGCAATGTCACGGTTCACTGTTATAGCAGCCATATACAACTTGAGTGTAGATGCAGATAGGTGCCTGTCCAGGCCCTCTTGGAGAAAGGATAGCACTGACCCAATACCACATCTCCGTAGGTCTTCCCTCGGGAAGAACACCAGTTAATAAAAATGCGCCACTTCGTGTAGCTGCCTCTTAAAGGAGGCCCTAGCCTGAGTAATGGTATTTACCACTGTGGGTAAAAGCCCTCTGACTTCCTCTTCTTCCTTTCCAGGGACCTGACATGAAGGTTCCAGAGGTCTGGGCGTGGGTGCCAGATTGTGCCCTGCCCCTGAGAAAGAAAATCCCTCCTCAGGGGAATCCGCCAGGGGGGAGCTGACATCATAAGCATGAGCCCCGAGAACCAAGTCTTGTTAGGCCAATATGGTGCCACCATCAGGACCTGTTCCATATTCTCCCTGACTTTGCACAGAGTCTGTGCAATGAGGCTCACTGGGGGAACACATACTTGCATAGATCCCTGGGTCAGCTGTACACCAGTGTGTCCATGCTGAGACGGGCCTCGGTCAGGCAATACCAGAGTGGGCAATGGGAGGGTTTTTGCGAGGGACACAGATCTATCTGTGCCTGGCCGAATCGACTCCAAATCAGCTGAACCATCTGGAAAAGGAGTCTCCACTCGCCCCAGAGTATAACCTGTCGCAAGAGTGAGTCCGCTGCATGATTGAGGTAGCCCAGAATGTAAGTGGTCTGCAGAGACCTAAGTATCTGCTGGCTCCAAAGAAGGAGATGGCGGGCGAGCTGTGGATGCAATGGGAGCGAACACCGACCTGGTGGTTGATATAAGCTACTGTCGCTGTGCTGTCCATCTGGACTAACACATGCTTGCCTTAAATCAACAGTCAAAACCTCATGACTGTTCCGGCTTCCTCAAGGCCGGAAGCACAGCCAACAACCCCAGGCAATTGATAGGCCAGTGCAGACGAGGACCTGTTCAGGTACCCAAAGCTGTATACCCGTTGCACACAGCACAACAGTATGAGTTGGAAGCAACGATCTGGACACTTGTTGTAAGGGCACTACTGCCGGTAGCAATGCAAGGTCCCTCCAAGGACTGAATGCATGGCGACAATCTGATGTGATGACCACACGTGCCACACGTACCACAGCGTCATGCCCATCTCGGGACTCATGAAGCCACTGCTGAAGCAGTCTCATATGCATCAACCCCAGTGGTGTGACAGTGGCTGAGGATGCCATATGCCCTAGGCACCTATGAAAGTATTTGAGAGGGACCGTTGTTTTGTACTTGAACATCTTCAAGCAATTCAGCACTGAACAAGCACAACCCTACGAGAGGTGTTCTGTCATGACAACCGAGTCCAGTTCTACACCAAGAAAAAAGATGCTCTGCACAGGGGAGAGCTTGTTCTTTTCCCAGTTGAACCAGAGTCCCAGTCGGGCTAGGTGCTCGAGCACCAGGTCCCTGTGTGCGCACACCAACTCTCGAGGGTGAGCTAGAATTAGCTAGTCATCGAGGTAGTTGAGAATGCGGATGCTCACTTCCCTCAAGGGGCAAGGGCAGCCTGGGCAACTTTGGTGACGCGAGTAGACAAGGACAGGCAAAAGGGGAGGACATTGTACTGATAAGCCTGCCCTTTGAAGGCAAACTGAAGGGCTGCAAAACCCTTTCTTCATCTCAGCTGGGGGAACAGACTCTATAGCGTTCTTTGCTAGAAGGACAGCAATCTACTCTCAAAGGACAGCAGCATTCTCTCCTCATACAGAGGTGAAATAACGCCACTGAACTTTGGTAGGCGCCTGGCGAACTGAATTGAGAGTCAAATGGGTCTGAGCAACCAGCGGGACAGGATAGGTAGAGCAATCCAAGTGTCCAGACACCACGCCAATGGCCTCAGTGGAATTACATTGCCTGTGGAACTAGAATGGAAAGACTTTGTGTCCATCATGACGCATAGTGATGGGTGAACAACATTGACCTTGCTCCTCAGGTCTGTTGATGAAGCCACCTTCTGAGGGGCCGGTGCAGGGCCGGGGGGTTGTCCCCCATGACGAGCAGATGGAGGTTGCTGTTTCGGGTGTCCAAGGATAAAACCTGGCCTGTGTCGAGGCAGTGAGCATCTGCTTCTTAACTGTCGAGAATTTGTGTATGAGCAAGGGAGAGACCGCTGCCTGTGCTATAGATCCAATGCAGAGGTTTTGGAGAGGTGAATGAAGTACTGTTTCTCAGTAAGATATGCTGCATCAGCTCGTAAAAACATTTTTATGCCAGGATATCTGGGCCAACTGCTCTTTCAGAGGAATTTTTCTCTCAAAGATCGCCGTCGAAGCACCCAGGCGCACACTCACCACACTTATCTGTGTATGACCAAGAGAGAGACCACTGCCTGTGCTACTACCACTGCTCGCCAATTTCCTTGACCTTTTCTCAGTAATGTCAGAGATGTCTGGGCTCTCAAGTGCAACCCCTATTGTCAGAACTTAGACACAATGTTGAAGTGACCAAATGAAAGGCAATGTTTTTCTTGCCAAAAAATTTTGAAAATGAGACAAAAAATGCAAGCAGCAAGTGGGAAAAAACGTAATTTGCTTAATTTAGCATTACATTTTGCAATCGCAAAATCCTAGAGAGACTGCTTTACGTTGAAAAAGAAATCTTGCTTAGTATTTTAAAAAGGAACATGTATGTCTCTGCACAGTTTTATGCATATGTCTATGTGCATGTGCTTTATACCTTGCAAGCCACTCTATGTGGACACAGCTTGCCAAAGCCCAGCGGCGGTTGAATCCTGCGCAGTAATGTCACCACATCTAAGTGTTTTATACGGCCCCTGATACACACACAATATTCATTGTCAAACAAAACACACACAGAGTGATCTAGAAGTACAACATCTTTTGGATATATACTTGGCCTCAGGATCATATTCCGACCAGATCCTCTTAAATTCATCTAAATGATGTGGTCCAAGAATTGACCAATCACGCGTCAGGTAGTCAAAGTTGTCCATGATGACAGCGACAAACAGATTAATGATCTGGAGAAAAGGAACAATAATAAAACTGAGCAATATAATTTATGTCAGATAACAAAACAAAAACAATTATTACCGAGTTGGAAAACAGAGCAATGTTGAAGAGAAAAAGAACAAGAAGTAGTAGGAGTAGATGCATGATTATTAGAGACTGAATATGCTTAGAACTACTAAACACACAAATGCAACACTTCGTAAAAGCTGAAATGTTTTGAGGTACCAGAAAAGCACAGAGCATGTAGAAGCTGATGAAGTAGAGGATAGCGAAGTTGCTGCCACAGCTTTTCTCCTCTCCAGGGTTATAGTCGGACTCAGAGTCACACTGTTTGCCAGGCAAACACGCCAACATGATCTGCTGCCATGCCTCACCCGTCGCACATCTGACATACAGTAAGAGAAAAACCAATGAAAGACTGTCCTGTATTTTTGTGTATTATTATAATTATTGGCAAATTCATTTTGATTTTAACTTTTATTATGAATTTGCCCTATATGGTACGGTTCATCACAAACAGACATGTAAAAATTTTACATTTTGTTTATTTGGTATTCAAAAGGAGGAGATGCACAGCCTGAAAAAACTTAGTAATTGAGCAAAGAATGTACTACTTGGTTTCTGATTAAATGTTATATTTTTAATGCATAAATGTGTTGCTAGCTCTGCTTACTGAAAACATTGATTCACCTTCATGTTTTTTTACTAATTAATACTAATTCACTCTATTTACACTAGTATTATTGGATGTTATTTCACTTAATTTACACTGCTTTGATAAAATGAATGTACAGCTTTTGCCATTCCAGTAAGACTCACTTCACTAAACTGAAGTGAAACATCAATGCTCACAAACACAATATTCTCATGAACACACCTGAACAACAGGAGCACAGCTTGTGGAAAGGTCTGGAAATTATTGTTACGATTAATACTGGTTCCATCCACCATGGCGATCTTCCCAAACACCTAAAATAATAAAACCATCACATTAGCATAATAATTCACAACAGGTTTACTACATTACACTAGCAGATGATTTACCTGCATTCCAATGACAGCATAGATGAAGAACAACATGGCAATAAGCAGAGCCACATACGGAAGAGCCTGAGAGACACAGAGGAGGAAATTACAGTTCATTATTCAAGGCAGGGTAGGTGATTTGGTTCAAAAATATTTTTTGTTATGCTGGTTGAAAACCTCTTCACATCCCGATAGCAATCACTAAGTTAAGTGGTCTACATTTATTTATATGTATTTATATAATCTGTGGAAGGCATAGGACCATAAAATGTTCGTCCAATCAAAATGATAGGCTGTCATGCCTGCCTGTCAAAATATGTATTTGCTTACCTCTGCGCACTGTTTGTGCAGACATCGTACGTCATCAGCGCATTCCAGCGAGAATGAAAGGCGCTATTACTGTAATATTATGCGCGCTGTACTGTAATGTTTTCTCAGCGGTGAATGAGACATGAGGTAATCTGACAGCGCTGCATTCAATCCTCCACCAACGGCGTCTCTCATCGTGCCGCAGGTTAGTCTCTGCTCTGACGGAGTGTGTTCATGTGTTTTGGATGAGGCATGGCTTTGCAAAGTGATTATTCAGGGAGGGTGGGATCTTGCTTTCAAAGCTAGCTTGCTATCGCTTGCCTTTCCGAAATCGCCTGCCCTACCTTTAAATATCGATAAATAAACCCTAACATGAAGTCAAACATTACATTTACTAAGCTACTAATTGCAATATTAAAATATTTGAATGTATTTTATTAATCTGCATTCCAAGTTACTTTATATGTACTAGTTAACTAGTGCTAATTTCGTTGTGTTGCGGCTTGTTTCCGTTTTGTTGTGGAGGTCAAGGCTGTAGCTAAAACACAAAATGTTTAATTAATTAATTAATTAAACTGAAAAGTGAACAGACTATGCGCTGAATTAGAGACAGTAAATGTGAGTGAGTCCAATATCATTGGTCTTAAAAAAATAAGTAAAATGTAAAAGGTAAAATGTTTCAGACGCCCGTGCTGAACAAACTAAACTGTGGTTGGTTGCTTTGTTTGCCAGTGACACAGCCTCTGCCGGTCTAAATGGGTGGTTATTTACCAGTGAAAGCTGCTATAGTGCCCAGACCTTTAGCTGTCAGTCAAAACTCTACACAATGTGGCTACACAATATCTACAGTAGCTGCAATTTAACATGTACTTCCATTATATTCATATTTGTCCTACCAGTTTTTGGTTCTTTTAAAGATTTTTCCAACTTCTTGCTTTAAATGACGACACCTAAGCTTCGGGTTTTGTGCTCAGCATTTTAACCACAGTCAAAAGTTAATGATTTTGAGACATAAGATGGCACAAATGAACTTGAGTGTTGAGTGATGGGAGATGTAAAAGTGTCACTGCTTTGTTGGTTAATTTGTCAGTTGTGTCACATTATTTGTGCACTTAATGCCCAAACTTACCAATCGCAATAAAGGATTCCAGACAGTCATGTATTAAGTTGCTTTATGAAATGAGCGTACCTGAAATGATTTGATGAAGGTCCACAGGAGCGTGCGAATGCCCTCTCCTCTGCTCAATAACTTCACTAAGCGCATGACACGAAACAGACGAAAGAATGTGATGGAAATTCTTGCACTGCCTTCAGTGTTCTGAGAAAAACACCAGCCAGCATTCAAGACACAGTTCATGTTAATGAGGTACAATGTGTTTCCACTCTCTACTTCAGTGTGTCTCTGTCACACATCGCACAGTGTGTGTGGATTGTGTGTGATGAGTGTGTGAACAGACCGTGCTTTTGAGTGTTTTAATGCTCGGCATCATTCACTGGTCATTTTCATGCAGAGTTTGTGCATGCACTGCAGGCTTCACATTCCCAACAACAAATGCTTAATGGTCCCATATTCATAACAAAGACCTTCTTTTCAAGACAACACACCAGGCATCTTATCCGTCTATACTGCAAATACAGCAGCTTCTGTTTGCGTCAACAAATCAAAGGGCTCGTATTAAAACTCACAATCAACCTATAGTCTTTATAGCAATATATACTAAAGTCAATATATATACACACACTTTAGTATATATACTTGATTATATATTAAAAATTCTAATTATTGAGCTTTCTCATGATGAATTACATGAAATACAGTTGTGCTTCCTTTTGAACTAATCATGCCTAGACACTTGCCCTCAATACTGCGTTTTACATATTAAACACATAAAAGAAAAAATCAGTAATTCATTTCAGCTGTATACGATCACTTTAAACAGTAAAAATGTGTTTATGGCATACTTCTAACATTACAGTGATACAGGTAATTCTCAGAAAACAGTACCATATGTGCCTGAAGTCTTCATGCCTTCATTCTTTTGAAAAGTATTTCAAGTAATTATATTTCCAAACCTTAGGCCAAAAGGACTATGGTTGTCACTGCCATAAACACTGTGACTTTAAATGCAGACCTTGAGCCAAAAACACCAAACACCAATGACTTGCACATATGGGTACAGTCATTTTAGACACTTCCAAAACTGTTGCAACAGAGATGGAAATACAGTTTTTAATTACATGCATTATGATTCCATCTTTGTTGCCACAGTTTTGGAAGTGCCTTTTTCCGTTTTAAAGAAGGGGGTGTCCCAATAAATTTGCCCGTATAGTGTATGTACAAGTCATTGGTGTTTGGCGATGAGTTTTTGGCTCTGGTCTGCATTTAAAGTCACATCAGAGGTTTCTGCAGACCAGTCAAGTTCTTCCACACCGACTCAATCAATCATTTCTTTTTGAACCTTGTCTTATACACAGAGGCATTGTGTTAGAATAGAAAAGACTCCTGTCCAAGCTGTTGCTATAAAATTAGAAGCACACAATTCCCTAGAATATCATTATCTGCTTAAACATTAAGATTTGTACTCATGGAAATGACTAAAGTAGTCAAACCTGTTCATTAGAAGGGGTGTCCCTATACTTTTGTCTATGTAGTGTATCTGCACTGATCAGTTGTTCAAAATTATCGAATTTCAATCCTCAAGTGACAGATGGATGAACAAAAATCACAGAGACAGTCTGTCACAGCCTTGTGGGAAAGCGCTCCAACATACAGCGCAGTAGCGCTTTAGCAGACCCGAGTGCTCCTCATGCTCCTCCTCTAATGCTCCCTGTCTACCCTTGCACTGTCCTACCGAAATAATGGGGAAAAGGCCAAAAAAATGGGCCGAAATTTTTTTTTATTTAACCTATTAAAACTGGAAGCTGGCTGATATTTAGCTGAAGAACAAACATTGTATTTAAAAAGATCGCTCACTAAACAGAGTTCATTGAGTCAAGTTTGTATCAGCAGTAAGATGTGGAAACAAATGGCACCTTTCCTGAAAATGACCCACATAAGCTTCACCTTTAATATTTGAACAAAAACAGACAGAGATGCTGGGCTTGGATCACGCTTTTACTTACATTGATCTCCGTGATCGCAATGTCAACGATGCTACCAACAACAATTAAGGCATCAAACGTGTTCCATGCATCGGCAAAATAGTGCTGCGGACACCCAGCGAAACAGAGAGATGAGAGAGGAAAGGAGGATTGGAAGAAAGAGATGAATTGACAAAGAAACAGAAAGTGGGAAGAAAAAGACAGAAGAAAGTCACAGTTATGATGCGGCAGTCATACACAGAAAGAGCGACACACTGTTGCTGTGTCTCTTTCCACTCCCTATTTCCCCGTTACGTTACTATGCATATCGTGAACATTCACGAATTCTGACACTACAAAGGGTCTTAAACCACTAAACATTTGGACTTGTTTTGTTTATCGTGCATCTTTGTTGTACCGCAGCTGTTATAAAAGTCATGAAAGGTCATCATGTGCTGATCCTCCATTTCTATCAAGCTGAGTTGAGTTTTTTTGTGGGGCATTGTGTTATTTTTGACAATGGGACATTCCTGATGGCCTACTACCTAACCAGTGCACTGTAACTAGGGAGCAGATTGAGACACATCCTACAATAACAACAGCTAGGCAGTCTGGGGTATTTATTTATAACAGGCAAGTTTTTATATGTTGAATCTCATAATAACATGTCCATGTCAAATTTCATTTTATTCCACATAACTTAATTTCTGAACTTGTTTGTATTGTTTTCTTTGTATGTATGGATTACTTGGGCTGTTACCAACATCTGGTGAACATTTCATGTCAAAAGCATCTTTAGAAATATATTTACTGAGAAAAATGGTGACGTGTTCAATACTTATTTTACCCGCAGTATCTATATAATCACATATGATATCTTCTGAAATGTTTTAGCATTTTGCTGTCGCTTAAATTCTGCAACCACGGTTTTCTCTGGGTATAAACATTAACACAGTATAGACTTCCTGAAAGCATATTTCCCCTGAAGTAAGAGTGTCAGATACATCCATAAACACAGCATGCTAAAGGACGAGAAACACAAAATCAGACAGCGCCAACTAGCAGAGGTGAGAAAAAGATGAAGAGTGAGGGTCAGACAGACGAGAGGAAAGTCGGGGGTCTACCTGACTCAGAATGATGTCTACTACGCTGCCAATCACCACCAGAGCATCAAACCCATTCCAGGGGTCCACACAATAACCCTAATCAGACAGACAGTGGCGGGGAGGACAGGAGAGCAGAAGGGTTAAACATCACGGGACGGGGCACAAGCGCTCTGACATCACTGCATCATAGCCAGACAAAAGAAAGACTTACTAAATAATGTTAACTTAACTGACTGCTTCACTTCCACTTTAAGGGTAACAGTACCGATTAAGGGGGGCATCTATAAAAATTATGTTTTTCTTTAATGTAGTTTCTACTGAGCTCACAGTAGGTCTGCCGTGAAAGGTTTTTACGTCCTGTACTTGATTATTGTACTCATATTTATGAATTCTCATATTCAAGTGGATAATAGTGTCTGCAAAATAGTAAATAGTTGGACTATCAAACCAGGAGTGATGTGTCTTCATTGTTTGAATTGAGTTTTTTTCAAAAGGGTCTTGCAACACGGGGTTAGTTGTAACACATGGTTTAAATATTTGCACACATGCTAGCATAACAAAATTTACAGAATTTACTGGTTGCCATATCAACACTATATAGAGAAAAAAGTTTGCCAAAATGAAAAAATCTTTTGAAGATATCGCTGAACATTTATTTTACCATAGAAAAAGTTCATTTCTGGCTGAAGTAAATTTTCATCTCAGTTTTTAGTATTCATTTAAAATGAGACAAATGTTGTAACGCTGCGCTAAAATGTGCCCCGCTATTATTAAACTATGCTATTCTATGACATTATCAATGTAATTTACACTATGATTTTTAATGAGAAACTAATGGGTGAATAAAGACTGACAGTCAATGTTTAATTTTCAGAAATGATTATTTCAAGAAATGTAAAGCATTTTGGCTGGTCTAGTTTTCTCCTGTTGTGTGTGGAGGGAGGGGAGTGTATCTCTGTGTTTTTCTTAATGTGTTTCTTCATCTATTTCTCCCTGTTGTTTTTAACTATTCTGTATAGCTATGTGTTGTGATCAGGCTGCTGCCCCAAGCATGGTTGCAATGTGTTCATTGACAAACTCCAGATTAGATTTAGATTAAATTAGATTATTTTTAATTCTTAAAAAAATGCAATTTTTTTATTTGAAAAAGTCCATAACTTTATTTTATTGACCAACCGTTTTAGTTTGTCTTGTATATTTTTCTCATTAGATCAGATAACATTTTAAGCTGTCATATGGTCATGTTACAATGTACCCCACTTACGGGGCATGTTGTCACATTTCACTTCCATTCTTTTGGGGTAAATAAAGAAACATGTATACAATGTATTTATGAAACAAAGTGACATATTTGTACTAGACAAGTGGATAAAAAATTATACTCTGAACTAGGGCTGCATGATTAATCGAATGTGATTGTCATGCGCATCTCGTCAGTAAAGCCGGTTCTGTGATTAGTAGTAAATCTCCATCACGTGCTTTCAGATGGAGCAGTATTTACTACACAGAGCTGTAGTTCTCGAAATCGAAGAAATCGTTCTGCAATTATGAAAGCTGTTTGCGTAGCTTGTCAGTGAACTACAGCTCTGTGTAGTAAATACTGCTCCATTAACCGTGCTTCACTGACAAGATGCGCATGACAATCACAGCTTCTGCCTAATCGCGATTTATCGCCTTTTGCGATTTCATTTCAATTAATCGTGCAGCCCTACTCTGAACTGCATGTGGATTTTCGCAAACTGAGAAAGTCAAAAAAGCGTTAGGTTGTGCCCATCTGTTTCCTATTCTCTGAAGATGCTGTTGTGTTTGTGTAACAGTGCTGATGTTTAGATCTGTCTCCTCACCTGAACGGCCAGACACAGTGTGTTGAGGACGATGAGCACAAACATGACATACTCAAAGCCCGTGGAGTTCACCACATACCAGAACTTATACTGGTACGGGTTTTTAGGGATGTATCTCCTCAGCGGACGGGCTTTCAGAGCATACTCCACACACTGGCGCTGTCAAAACACACAAGAAAACTCACACCCTCGTCTTTCATTCATTTCCTAGCTGGATCACAATAATATCTGTATGAACTTACAGACCTGGTTCTTGTCCAGCTCACAGTTCTTGTACTCTTTCTCGCCCTGCTCCTGAAACGTGACAATGACAAAACCCACAAAAATGTTCATCATGAAGAAGGCGATGATGATGATGTAGATGATGAAGAAGATGGAGATCTCCACGCGGTAGTTGTAGATGGGACCCATGTTTTCCTTGTTTGAGTCGATGGCCTTGTACAGCAGGCTGCAGGAGACAAAACACACTCAATGGACCAATGCATTTCAGCAGAAGATGTGGGAAGTAGTTCAGTCTATTTATTTTTAACTATACACAATTAATTACATACTTGCATTTTAATATTTGAATTTACCCACCAGTTGAGAACCACTGATTCATGGTGTGATATTAAAATAATTACAGTACAGTTCTTGCAACCATTTACCATCACATATACATCAGTCAAATGCAGACGTGTACTGTATTTAAAAAATGCTATAATCATACTGTACTGTTTTATGGTCACATCCTTGCAGACCCTTGTGAAAAAGTACACTTAAGCATTCTTTTAAAAAAAAGAGTACTTATTATGAAAATACAGTATTTTACTTTAAGATATCTGCTTAAGGGTTAACTGAATGTAATGCTTTGGATGCTTAATTGAATGTTAACTGCAATTAAATGGAAATGTATTATACTTTAACTGTATATTAAATGCAGTTAGCTGAACTAGTAGGAATGAGTAGGATTTAAGTATATCTTTATACACTGCAAAAACATTTTTTTTATTATTATGTTTTCTAGTATAAATATCTAAACATTCTTGAATCAAGATGCATTTACTTGAGAAGCAAAATGACTTGAAGAAAATGTACCAATATTTTGTTATTTTTTTGCCTAAAACAAGTAAAAATATCTGCCAATTGGAAAAAAAAAAAAAATCTTGTTTTGCCTTTGAATTGTCACGGCTTGCTACTGTGAGGAGTGAGGAATGAGGAGACGCAGAGTCAAATTCAAACTTATAGACTTAATATCCAGGGAAACGGGAAAACACACGTAGCAAGGGTAGACATCAACAATTCCAGACAAGGGAGAACAGAACGGGTTAGAACTCAAATAGGGCAGATCTGGAGGAGCGGGCATTGGAGGGCGCTCTGGAGGAGCTGACTCTGGAGGGCGCTCTGGAGGAGTGGGGCTGGCTAACTCGGGGGAATCAGGAGACATCAGAGGATCCCTTCCCTCCAGCTTAGTCCCTTGGTGTCTGGGAGGTCCACGGGGCGATGGTAATTAGCCCCGATTTAGAACAGCGAGTTGAGCGTGGCGTCGTCCAAAGCCGTCACCGTGGCGAGCCCGCAGAATTTCCAAGCATACTCCAAGAAGGGGAGATCTCTGCGGGCTAAGGCGGCGAAACAAGCGGCGATTTCCATGATCGCGGGGGAAAAACAGGGAAAACAAAAAAACTTTCAAAAAACCGAAAACAAAAACGGGGAGAAGGAGCGCCATTTACTTTTTTGTTGGGTCTAGAATTCTGTCACGGCTCGCTACTGTGAGGAGCACGGAGCCAGGAATGAGGAGACGCAGAGTCGAATTCAAACGTATAGACTTTTAATAGTATCCAGGGAAACATGAAAACACACGTAGCAAGGGTAGACATCAACAATTCCAGACAAGAGAGAACAGAACGGGCTATAACTCAAATAGGGCAGATAACGAGGGGTAGACAGGTGTGGAGGATAACTAATAACTAGGAACACCTGGAACAAATGGAACTAAATGGGGACAGGAACCGGAAGGACCAAATACGGGCATAAAGAAACAGGAGGCAGGAACACAGGGAAAACAAAACAAAAACCGACCATAAACGTGACATGAATTAAGATTATATTTCTTACCCCATCGTGGATATTTTTCTTGTTTCAAGCAAAACTAACAAAATATTGACACATTTTTCAGAAAACAAGACTTAATACCTTAAGTCATTTTGCTTTTCAAGTAACTGCATCTTAATTCAAGAATGTTTAGATATTTTTACTAGAAAACAAGACAAAAATACCCAGTAAGAAAATAATTTTTTGCAGTGTAATTTCAATATTACATCTATTGTCTACATATATAGTATGTTAAGTGTACTGTACTGACAAGCATTTACGGTAAACTGATATATACTTTAATGTCAAAAAGTGTACTTAAGTATGTTAAGAAATAGCATATTTCTTAGAATCCTGGCTTCTAATGTTTGTGTTTAACAAATAACAATTTAACAAGAACAATTAGGCATAAAAGCTGTCAATCTGTTGTACTTAGGATTTATCTTAGTTTCATATTTTTAGCTTTTGTAGGTTTATTGTCTTATTTGTGAACAATTTGTATTTGTGTGAGTGTATATCTGTTTGTTTAGCTTTAGTTTGGGGACAAAACTGTCACCAGAAGCGAATTAAATCTAACAAAACATCCATTAGAGGCAATCATTGGTGAACGATGTAAAAATGTGTGCGTGGCGGGGGGTATTTGGGGGGTAAGGTACATAACCCTGTGTGAATGTGTGTGTGTGCGCTATGGTCTTACGCCGGCCAGCCCTCAAACGTTGAGACGGTGAAGAGGGCCATCATAGCCATCAGCACATTATCAAAGTTAAAGTCACTGTTGTACCAGATCCTCTCACGCATTTGTGGCAGTGCCGTTTCACCAATACTGTACACGATATACGTCCCTCTAGAAATACAAAAAGATGGTAGGACACACACGCAGACACTGTGTATTCACTGTGAAACACTTCATTCGCTCACCTGCAGTCCTCTGGACTTGTCTTTGCATCATCAGAACAGCAGTAGAACTTCCCCTGAGGACAACACATTTTCATCATGTAACAATGAAAACTGTTTGTTAATGGAGTTGGTTAAATGTGAAATCCTGCTTTGCTGGGGCACCTTAAACAGCTGCACACCGATACAGGCAAACATGAACTGAAGAAGTGTGGTGACAATCATGATGTTCCCAATCGTCCTGATGGCCACAAACACACACTGAACCACATGCTGCATTGGCAGAGAGAGAAAGCAAAGAAAACAGTTTTGTTCATGTGTGCATTTTACAATTAAAACGGTAACAGATTATGAGTTTTAATCTTATTCTAAAGGAGTCGTGACATGAGACATGCAATTTTGCTTGATATTTTACTTTTACAAGAGTTCATTGCATGAAAACATACAGGAATTGTCCAAACTCAAAAAGTAGCGAGATTGTTTTGAAAATATTTCACACTGCAGTTGTTCAGTTATCAGAGCATAAAACATGTATGACATGACCCCTACTCTCAGTCAAGAATGTCAAGGCAAGACTAATGTTTGCATCCAAACAAAATTTGATTGAATGGGCCCCAATGAGTAGATTAATCATCAAAACAAAGAGTTAGCAGATATTAAGCAGACAGACTACTAATATTCTGATGACTTGTAGTTGCAAATTTACTTTTAGTTAGTAGAATGTCGAAAATAAGTGTTACCCTTTTTTCAGTCAACGTCAAATTGTCTTTGCCATCTGCTACATTATATCACCTTCAACCTTCTATAATGTCCAAATAAACTCTCACAGCTGCCACTTTTGTGACTTCTCTGCACCTTGTTTATGAATCTAACCAATACTGTGGCACCTTTACTCAGATCTTCACAATCTTTTGTATCTGGTGAGCTTCACATTATACTTGTGTCAAACAAATATAGCAGTGCCTGACTTTGAGTCCCTTGGCTCTGTTGATGGCTCTCAGAGGTCGAAGCACACGCAGAATCCTTAAGATCTTCACCACTGAAATGGCCGACGATCTGCCGAACACGAGCACAGTGACTGTCTTCAAATGCACAGAATGAAATAATCCAGTAATGCGTGTCGTGATATTTACGTACTGTATGCCGAAGGAAACGAGGGAGACTCCAACCACCAGCAGATCCAGCAAATTAAAGTAATTTCTGCAGAAAGCTCCTTTGTGAAGGAAAGCACCAAACGCAGTCATCTGATGAACACAACAAAGACGGGTGAACTAAACTGCTTGAAGCTAGAGGAATTATTTCCAATTGTATTTATTACATTTAGATTTAATAGAAACAGTCTGAATTGGGTTGTAAATTCCTGTCCAACTCAGTAACCCCAAATAAGAAACTAGTAAAGCACATCTTTATAAACTAGAACAGGTAAGAGAGTTATAGTCACATTGTACAGTGTGCAGATGGAAATAAGACAGGAGTCTTTACCTTCAACAAGATCTCCACTGTAAATATAGCAGTGAAGGCATAGTCAAAATAACCAAGAACCTGCACAGAGAACGCAACAGCAAAAAATTCAGTCGGTTCAAGTTATTTCATTTCCGCAGCTCCTTCACAATCCATGTTGTTTCAAAGCAGTAATAGCTTAAAGCTGTTTAAGTGAGCAGCCAAATAGGACTGTGCAAGGTTGCAGTAGCAAAAGAAAAATGAGAAAAATGAATCTTGAGAGGAACCAGACTCAGCTGGAGGAGCCCATCATCCACTGACATTACAATGTGCATATGCTACATATTACCTACCTAGTTATTACTCTCTAGTTAATAGCCGTGTTAAATGTTAAACCTGATTAAGGTTAATGCTATCTAGATGATATTATGTGTTCCCTGGATCAGTGAAATGCTTCAGTAGGTAAATAGTGAATCTGCATTTGAAGCATCTTGTGAATTCCTGTTTGGAAATAATTACTCCTTCAAACTGTGAACGTGAAAATAAGGTTAAAAAGACTCTAGTTCAATGAGTCTAAATGACGCTGCATAACTAGGATCTTGTGTTCAAAAGAAGAAATTCCAATTTTCCTCATATTTGTGAATTTTACACTATTCAAAAGAACAGATGACACAGTGTTTTGATCGTGCAGGTTTTACAATGTTTCGGGCAGAGAAGTTACGGATGGGGTCCTCGGCTGCCAGCGAGACAGAGCTCAGCATGATGAAGATGAGGATGAGGTTGGTGAAGATCTGATGATTGATGAGCCGATGGCACGCCACACGGATCCTGCGTTACAGACAGAGATCAGACGGACAACAGTGTGTGAGAATGAACAATATGGCAGTCCAAAAGATGTTTTTGAAACGCCTTGTAAAAAAGAAGCGTTCTTGTTTGTATTAGAGGTGTGTATTTGTAATGTACTTCCAATCTTAAAAGTATACTTGAAGGTTATGTAAAAATAATAAAATATAAGTCCACTTAAGTGTACTTAAACTAAACTTGCACTTCAAAAAACTAAACTTTGTAATAGTGTCAGATTAAAAGCATTGAAGTACATTTAAATCAGTACTTTAATAATCTTTTGTTGTGCTTGTATGTAAAAGAGCAGCGTGAACATTCTGCTAAACATCTGCTCTTGTAACCACTGAAAAAAGAAAGTGTTCACAAGCATATATATCCCTTATTTGTTAAAAAATGGTTCTTGTTCTCTTCTTTTCTGCATATTTACAGTGCCTTGTGAAAGTATTCATACCCCTTCATTTTTTTCACGTTTTGTTATGTTGCTGCCTTATGTTAAACTGCTTTGAATTACTTTTTTTCCACATCAATCTACACTCCATACACAATAATGACAAAGGAAAAATAGAATTGTCACAACTTTGTAAATCTATAAAAAAAAATCTATATAAAAAAAAAAATAAGTACATTGCATTAACTCAGTACTTGGTTGAAGCACCTTTACAGTCTCAAGTCTTTTTGGGTATGATGCGACAGGATTTGCTCATCAGCATTTGGCAATTATCTGCTATTCTTCTCCTCACCTCTTCACCTCACAAACTCAAGCCCGGACTACATGCTTCTGTGAACCTTCAATGCAGCAGATTTTTTTTCTGAACTCTTCCCCAGATGTGTGGCTTGACGCAATCCTGTTTCTGAGCTCTACAGGCAGTTTTTACCTGAGGGCTTGGTTTTTGCTCTGATATGCATTATCAGCTTTTAGACCTGATATGTGTGTCTGTCCAAATCATACTCATTCAATTGAATTTGCCACAGGTTAACTTCACTTTAAGTGCAGTAACATCTACATGCAATATGAATGCTCCTGAGCTAAATTTCAACTGTCCCAGATAAGGGTATGAATACTTATGCAATGGAATCATTTAAGTTTTTTATTTTAAATAAATTTGCAAATATGTTAAACACCTGTTTTTTGCTTTGTCGTTATGGTGTATGGAGTGTAGATTGATGTGGGGGGGAAAAGTAATTTAAAGCAGTTTAACATAAGGCAGCAACATAACAAAATGTGAAAAAAATGAAAGGGTGTGAATACTTTCACAAGGCACTGTACTTCTGCTGTAGCTTGTGTACTAATCTAACTTCTACTTTAAACTTGCCATTTTGCACTATGCATATGTTATGATAAATTGCTTGTGATATTCCACATTTGTAAGTGACTTTGGATAAAAGTGTCTACTAAATGAAAAAATGTAGATGTAAATAAAGTCATACTGATTTGGAATGGGGGTGACCAAATGATGGTAGAGGTCTCATTTCTGAGTGAACTTTAAAGATTTGTATGACATACGGGTTGGTGTTGCTAAGGATGAAGAAGGCGCTGCCCTCTGGGATGGGTGGCATCTTTTCTCTGAGGTTCAGCTCTGACAGCCTCAGCGGCCGCTGGCCTGATGGTACCTCGGGCTCATCTTCCTCATCCTCCTCTACATACAAACATACAAACACAATCACAGTGATCAGCTGACATCACTGGAGCTCATGTGCAGAGCTGAGTGGTAAACACTATTAGAGGTTCACCTGAGGAGTCAATCATGTCCTCTGTCTGATCCTGATCACCCTCCTGATCACCAGATGCCTGCAACCAAAGGACCTCAGTAATAGTGATAATGTAGAGTCATCTGCTCGTTATAACATAGTAAACGTCCTGATATTTTGGTCAGATTGTCCTACCAGGGCTTATTGGGCATGAGCACATCAATATTGCGTCCTTTTTCTCACGCCGAACAACAATAATTACTGTATTTGCATTACTGTAAGGGGTAAGTTAGGTTTAGGGTTTGGGGCAGGTGTAGACGTTAAAGGGTTAGTTCACCCAAAAAGGAAAATTCTGTCATTAATTACTCACCCTCATGTCGTTCCAAACCCGTAAGACCTCCGTTCATCTTCAGAACACAAATTAAGATATTTTTGATGAAATCTGAGAGCTCTCTGACCCTCCCATAGACAGCAAGGATACTAAAACGATCAAGATCCAGAAACATAGCAATGACATCGGTAAAATAGGGGGTTCAACCGTAATTTTACGAAGCTACGAGAATACTTTTTGTGCGCAAAGAAAACAATAATAACATAATTGATTCAGCAATTCTTCCGCCATTTTGGAGCATACCCCAGAACGTAATCAGCGTTGTTTACGTTTAGCATGCGCACTGTCTACCGAACATGATTACGTTGATTACGTATTTAAAATATCTGAAGATGAACGGAGGACTTACGGGTTTGGAATGACCTGAGGGTGAGTAATTAATGACAGAATTTTAATTTTTGGGATAACTAACCCTTTAATAAAACACAATCTAATAGGTAGAAAAATGTATTTATTGTTGGTTTCCGGCCTTAGCTGTATCCCTTCTTAGCCACAACCCTAAACTACACATAATTACTGTATCTGCATTACTGTAAGGGGTAGGCTTAGGGTTGGGGTAGGTGTAGACGTTAATAAACCATACTTTGAAAGGTAGAATTGTACTACCTACTGTTTTAATAGGAGGTAGTAAAATCTGACAGGGTAGCACAGATCGACAGAACATAAACCCTGTCAGGGTGGTAGCTTGACCCTCAGCAGCTTCTTGTGATCATGTTCAGTATAGCCACTTAGCAAAGAAATAAACACATGACTAGTCAAGTACTCCAGAGAGCCATGTCACCCACCTTGACGTCTCCATCGTCACCATCTCTCGTGTGTATGCTCATACTCCTGCACAAAACACACTCTGTACGTTAGCAGATGTTTGTGCTCAGTATCTGAATGAAACGCTTCTCAGGGTATCAGAGAGGAGCGCTCACCTGCTTTTCTTCCTCTTGTTCCTCTTCTCTTCCTCTTTCTGGGCTGAGTTCAGACTTTCAGCATCTGCCAGGTTATCCACAGCAATGGCCAAGAAGACGTTCAGTAAGATGTCTGATCAGACGTGTTAAGAAATTAAAAGGAGCACATTCAGTTCTCTCCCGATCAGTATTAGAAAGCGAAAGATACATAGTTATTGTAAGTGTACAAACGCCATTTGCCATTTTCTTCCAACTGTTGCTCCACCATGCAGAAGTTCAGCTGAGCTCAGTCCAAGAATATGTCGGGTCCCTTTTTATATTCCATATTTTTAACTACTGTGCATTTGAGCATTTGGTACAATGTAGAAGCCTGTGGAACCCAAATTAACTTGGTGTGGCATTGGACAAGTTTGTGTGTGAGGGAAAATACTGATGTGTGCACAGGAAAAGAATTACTTGTGAAAATACAAATGTCTAATTTACTCAAATTTATTTTATGCTTTAAGGTACAGAATGTTATTTGTCTATTGAAGATAAATGGCTTACAGGTGCAGGGTTGAATATTTTCAATGCTTTTTAGTTGTATGTGACAGGAAGATAAAGCACTTCCGTTGGCCTGCTGCAATAAATGCACCAAGGTAAAGTCAGAAGTGTCATGCTTGTGTGGGAATGGTAAAAACGCAAGATAGAATCATACTGGAACAGGACCGAACAATCTGCATTGCCCTCTACCTGTGGGATTTTGCAGGAGAAAGCGGGACAAAACATAAAAGAAATAACTTATTTTTAGCGGGACATAAAATCAATCCCACTCAGACCTCCATGACTATGTACTTACTGTGTACTTAATGTTCTGAAACGCTTGTCAGTTTCGCATTTGCTGCCAGCGAGGTTGAGATATGGGTCGGGTCACTTCATTTTACTGCGGATTTGTTTATAAACAAAGAATAATTTGATTAATTAACGACTAAATTGGATCCGACAGTAATGCCGCAACACACAAATGTGAGTAACTGTTTTTATTACGTGATCACTATTGCTTTGTCTGTTAAACAGATCGTTTGCTATGTATTGTGTTTTTGACCTAAATCACAGCAGCGCCCATCTGTGAAGGACGTAGACTGTCAAACATACACAATTGTTAGCCAATCACAGCAGTGGGCGTTTACTTCCGAGTCTACAATCCTCCACGCCTATTCAAACAGAGCGTTCTGATGAGGGGGGTCAAAACAGGACAGAAAATAGCCTATTACGTTGTTTTTTGATGTAAAAATCTCAGAGAACAGTACAAAATAATAAAAAGGGCAGTTCATGACCTGTTTAAGAAATGCGGTTAGACACTTTTCAGAATGCAACAATGTGTGAAATCAAAATTTGCGTTTATGTTTTTGGTCACTTTAGGCCTCAAAATGTACAAAGTTAATTTCATTGCCCATTGTCTCTTTAAACATATGCTTTTGCTTTCATCACTACAAATCTGCAGAACAGCTTTAATTTCCCTCTTCAGCTTGAGTTCAGCTGCTTGTTTGGTCAGTTCAACACAGTCTGAAGAAATCTTATACAGTAAGGATGTGACTTCAAACAGGCTAAACAGAAGAAAAGATACAGTTTCCACAGATGAAGAGGATGATGAAGTAGATGCACACAAGCATGCCTGAGGAGGAGGGGCCCCCATATGCCATGATCCCATCATACATGACTGTATTCCAATCCTCACCCGTCAGGATCTGATGAGCAAGAAAAAATGTACAGATTTACAAATGGTTATTTGACAACACATGTTCTACTGGCTGGATATGCTGCATCTAAAGCTGTTTCTTTAATAATTGTACATGCTGCTTTCATGCAAACTTAATGTTCATGTTGTAAACTATCCAAATATTGCCAAACAAGCTATACATTATATTATATGCATAATGTGTGTGATTGTAACAGACTGATATAATACATGGTATTTTATGATTACAGCAGGTATTTGCTAAGTATTCCATGGTACTTCAAGGAATAGCACAGTACTATCATTCATACCATGGTATGTTATGGAAGGCAGGGGCAGAACATGAACAAGTCTTTGAACATGCATGCATGTTTGTGTAAATGAAAAACTACTGTTTAAAAGTTTGGGTAATAGTACAGACTTACACAAAAAAAGATTTAAAATAAACAATGTTCTGTTGAACTTTTTTAACTTCCAAAGTATCTTAAGAATGGTTGAGCACCAGATCAGAATGATTTCTGAAGGAGCATGTGATACTGAAAACTGGAGTAATGATGCTGAAAATTCAGCTTTTCCATCATATGAATAAATTGAATTTTTTATTATATTAAAATAGACGGTTAAAACAGTTGTTTTAAATTGTAATATGTGACCCTGGAGCACAAAAGCAGTCTTAAGTCGCTGGGGTATATTTGTAGCAATAGCCAACAATACATTGTATGGGTCAAAATTATCCATTTTTCTTTTATGCCAAAAATCATTAGGATATTAAGTATGATCCATGAAGATATTAGGTAAATTTCCTACCGTAAATATATCAAAACTTAATTTTTGATTAGTAATATGCATGGCTAAGAACTTAATTTGGACAACTTTAAAGGCGATTTTCTCAATATTTAGATTTTTTTACACCCTCAGATTCCAGATTTTCAAATAGTTGTATCTCGGCCAAATATTGTCCAAACCATACATCAACGGAAAGCTTATTTATTCAGCTTTCAGATGATGTATAAATCTCAATTTTGAAAAATTGACCCTTATGACTGGTTTTGTGGTCCAGAGTCACATATTATTTCACAATCTTACTGTTTTCACTGTAGTTTTGATAAAATAAATGTAGTCTTGGTAAGCAATACATTTCTTTCACAAACACTAAAAAATCTTACTGACTCCAAAGTTTTGAACGCTAGTGTACACACAGACACACACACCTGAAAGACAGTCAGCAGGGCTTGAGGAAAGTTGTCAAAAGTGCTTCGTTTGGTAACAGTCTCGTCAAAGTTAAACTTCCCTCCGAAGAGCTGCATGCCAAGCAAACTGAAGATGATGATGAAGAGGAAGAGCAACAGCAGTAGGGATGCAATGGACTTCATGGAGTTCAAAAGAGATGCCACCAGGTTACTCAGAGCCGCCCAGTGACTAGAAACAGAAAAAAGACTCAATACAATCAGCACCATGATATTTTAGTTATTAGTCACATATTGATTATAGTCATCAAAAAACAACATCTGTTACAACAATTTCAACAGAACTTTGGCTTGTATTTTGATTTGTATTGACTCTTCGAGAGCAATCCTACCAGGACATGTCTAATCTAGCTTACTTATTTTAACTGGCCCTGCAGTAAGACTTTTTTTGTACAGAAGTACAAACACATGATGTTATGCACCAACTACCCATATATTTCAGTTTGATATGTTCCATATTTTGACTACTGACACATCAAAACACATCAACAGTGAAGTGTGAGAAACAAATATTAGTCTGATGAGAAAGTTGGGTAACACTTTAGTATAAGGACCAGTTCTCACTATTAATTATTTGTTTATTAGCATGCCTTTTATTAACATATTTGCTGTTTATTAGTACTTATCAAGCACATATTCTGCATGACCATATTCTACATCCCTAATCCTACCCAATAACTAAACTAAACTATTAATAAGCAGTAAATTAGGAGTTTATTGAGGCACAAATCATAGTTAATGGTTTGTCAATGGCGAGATTGGACCTTATAATAAAGTTGTCATCCTGTCTTTACAGTGATATGAAGGCAGCATAAGAAACCAGCTGATCATATGCGCTGTTTCTCACCGTGTGACTTTAAAGATTCTGAGGAGCCGGACGCAGCGAAACACTGAGATGCCGAGAGGAGACATGATCTCAAGCTCCACGAGGATCGTCTCCACAATGCCTCCGCAAACTACGAAGCAGTCGAAGCGGTTGAAAAGTGACACAAAGTATGCCTGCAGCCCCAGACTGTACATTTTTATCAGCATCTCGCATGTGAACAGGGCTAACAACACCTTATTAGCCACACCTGCAGACAAACACAACAAGAACAAATGAGATATACATGTAATCTATCTGAGCAGTTTTGGTTATCATTTTTTTTCAGTCATCAAGCTTTGGTAACACTTTATTTTGATCGTCCCTTTAGAGCATTCTGCTGACAATATAAGTAACTTTGCACCTACATGTCCACAAACAACAACAAGAGTATAGTAGACTTGTCTGATTAATATCTGCTAACTCTTTATTGTGATGGTGCCCCAACAGACCTTCTACTGACTATAAGTAACTTTGCAAGTACATGTCAACATATTCTAACCCTAACCCTACCAGTCTACTAATACTCTACAAACACACTAATGAGAGTTAGTAGATATTTAGGTGCAACATTACTTATAGTCAACAGAATGTGTTAAAGGAACCATCAAAATAAAGTGAACACCAAGCTTTATTCATTTTTGTGTCAACATCCAAAGGTGTATAAAGCATGAAGAGTTTCAGTGAGTTCTCACCCTGGACCTCCGTGAGCCAGTCGGGCTGGTTATAATGTTCGGATGATATTGTGAGTGTATTGAGGAACACCAGCAGAATCACCAGCCAATAGAAGAGGGTGGATTTCACCACAGCTCGACACTTCCGGCGACAAAACCTGTTCCAGCAACGCCAGCGGCTGCAGAGATAGGATGTGATTGCACAGCACTGCGAGCGCTACACACTGAACGTGTGTATTTGCACAGTTCATTTATGTGAACACATGTTGTATGCTGTTTAGAGTGTCCATGCATGCGATACGGTCAGAAGACTGTTCAAGCTTTAATGTAATGAAATGCAAAGCCAAGCCCTTCGAATGCATTCATATCAAACACAACATACGCAGCAAGCATCAAAGCGCCTTGACAGATTCACTGACACACCGCAGCACATCAACATAAAGAGCTTTAAATGTTCAAAACAACGCACGCACACACACACACACCGACATGTAGAATGATGAGCAAACACACACAACTGGAATTGAATTCAGCTTCGAACACACACTGAGCTACTGACCTGAACTTCGACTTTGTCAATTTCTGACTGAAAAAGTGAAAAATATGGCATCACTTCATGCCACGCTATAAGCTGATGAAAAAACTTCCAGCATGTGACAACTAGTTAACATTTCGTTAGAGATTCAAGAGCTGGGAGTTTCTTTGGAGGTTATCGCAGGCACAAAAGGGTGTGAAGAACTTCCCATATAGCTGTATATAAGGTATAAAAATGGTGTGCTTACCAGATGGGCCCACAGCAGACTTTCTCATCTTCTCCTGGCTTCTCTGTGTTCACAGACTCTGTCTCACTTGTGGGGATGCTTGCTGCAGAGACACAGAAAACACATCACTGTGCACAAGAGAGCCTAGCCTGCACTACTGTAATGCAAAGGGAGTGCTTTTTTGCTAACACAAACTGTAATAAAACATATTAATTTATTTAAAATGCTATAATGCTAAATTGCCCCCGCCTCTCACACACAGTACGAAGAACCATCTAAACTCTAGGCAATGCAAATAAATTCTCCTTCAGTCAATCAGAGGGCCCACAATGAGGCCCCCTCTCTGCTCCTCTCTGGTATCTTCTTTGCTGAGACCACTGCATCCTTCAAGAACATCACTGGTCAGCAAGCTGGACTGATATCTTTCTGGTCTGATTTGTTTCACTTCTGTTACATATCCTAGCTACATTCCAGCTGTGAAGGCAACGAAGTGAGCAATGATGCTCCCTGGTTATTGGAGTGCATTGTAGGAATTATTCATTCTGTGTTTTGGAACAATTATGACATTGGGACAGCTCTAGAAATCCCTGGCCAGTGCCCTGACTTATGATATACGGAGCTGACCGAGACACATACAAAGAGAATGACAAAACATGACTGATTAACAAAGAACAGCCGGACACTATTAAAACAGGAACCAGGAACAGATGGAGCACAGTCTGAACATCCTATGCACTAAAATGTATTGTTTTTAAGGTATCATAAATGTATTATTGCCTGCCTATGATATTCAACAATCCTGTGAATGTGTGTGATTTCACAAAATTTGCAAACTTTTTCCATCTAAAAGTGTAAATTGAAGAGGATTGAAATGTCATCTGCTAGTCAGGGAATGAAAATGACATTACACAAATTATACAAACAAACTGCATATTCCTCAGTTTATAACTTGGCGATCTCATATAGCCCTATTGGTCTCTGTCTGGCTTTTTTTTCTTCTAGTCATAAATGTAGTGTGTGGCCATTTTACAAAAAAAAAATCCCAAAAAGGGAAAAATCATTTTGATGAAATTTAGTAGATGTGTACAAAGACTGACTCTGAAGAGTCACACCTGGTCTCACAATAAGGAAGAAAAATAAAAAAATGTGTTGATGGGGGTCTTTGGAATTTGTTCTTTGCATGGTCTATAGGTTATAAATCTTCAAAATGGTTTATTCTCACAAAAACATGGTATACACGACAAGTATGATTATGATAAGGCATGCAAAGATATAAAAGGTGATTAACTGGAAATGTATGCAACTATATTATATAAAAAATGAATGTATTTAATAAGAATAGGCTGTTGCTAACAAATGCCAGTTAAACAACAAATACTACAGGAATAAATTACATTTGAAAATATTTTAAAATAGTAAAGATTTTTTGTATTGTAATAATAATTCACAACATTACCGTTTTACTGTATGTTTTGATCAAATAAAATAAAATGCGGTGTGTGCACCTACAGAAAACGGGGTTTTGTCTCTTGCCGCTATATTCAATGCAATGTTGTTTTAACGGAATATGTTGCTGCGCATATGAAGTGTCTGTCACACTCAAACACACAAACTGAACTAAATTTACCATGAGTCTCAGTGGACTGACTGAACGAGCCCGATTTTCCCGTGTTCTTCCTGTGGGTGAGATCGCCCAGCGTAACCCCTTCGGTTCACAAGCAGGTCACATGCATTCAAACAGAGAGGAGCTATGAGTGTCTACTGCACAAAAACACAGCAGCACTACAATACTACAACACTAGAGATAGACAGAGAGAAAAAAGAAGGAAATGAGAGAAACAAGAAGGACACAGAAGGTAGTTTTGCTGTTCTGACTCAATATTAAGCATAACAAAGCAAAGACTAAAACGAAAACTACAATCACACTTTCACTACACAGCCAAGCTACACATACTTACACTAATGCAAAGTACATAATAAAGAGGTTGGGCTACAAATGATCATTATCCTTCATTTTGGATTATACATTTTCTATTGTGGTGTATTTTTATCATCAACATAATGTTGTAACTATTGTTATTTGAACTAATTCTAGTTTTACTAAGCTCTGTGTTGTGGATTCTTGGATTTTTCCATTTATTTGGCTCTCACAATGTGAAAGTGTAACCCATTAACAGCAACCCATAAATTATTCAACTGAATTACACTTGGTTGGTAGTGAGATTTGCCTTCACTTCTGATACCTACGTAAATGTTCTTTACTGAGGAAAGGTTTCTATAGAAGTCAAATGCAATAGACAGATAGCTTTTTAATCCATCAGTGTTTGGCAATGTAATATATCTGACATAATATGTAAGTAAGTAGCATTTTCTATTATTCCGTTACAGATCTGATCTAAGTGTTTCATGACCTGAAAAGTGAAGCCAAAACATTTCGATCACCATCTGGCGGCTGGCTGCAGTATAGGTCATAAACAAATGGGACGTGAGCCAAACTCAAACAAAAGTTCTTGTCACGCTAATGTATATTCAATAAGTTTGCTTTTAATTAGTTATTTGATGCTATAAAATGGGATGTGGTGTCATGATAGTGAGATTGTGATCTGCGGGAGTATGGGCCAGATTTTGACACTGCAGCTCCAACTCACAATCACTACTGTGCAGACTCGGGGCTCCAAACGAATCACCACTGCGCAGACTTTGGCTCCAAACGAGTCACTACTGCGCAGACCCTGACTCCAAACGAATCACCACTGTGCAGACTCTGGCTCCAAAAGATCACCACTGCGCAGACTCTGGTTCCAAACGAGTCACCACTGCGCAGACTCGGGCTCCAAACGAGTCACCACTGCGCAGACTCGGGCTCCAAACAAATCACCACTGCACAGACTCTGGTTCCAAATGAGTCACCACTGCGCAGACTCGGGCTCCAAACGTGTCAAAAGAATCACCACTGTGCAGACTCTGGTTCCAAAAGAATCACCACTGCACAGACTCTGGTTCCAAATGAGTCACCACTGCGCAGACTCGGGCTCCAAACGTGTCAAAAGAATCACCACTGTGCAGACTCTGGTTCCAAAAGAATCACCACTGCACAGACTCTGGTTCCAAATGAGTCACCACTGCGCAGACTCGGGCTCCAAACGTGTCAAAAGAATCACCACTGTGCAGACTCTGGTTCCAAAAGAATCACCAC